CTGAGTTTATGGGTCATATGACACTCCTTACGCACGGCCTACAAAAGATACACCTCCTTCGTACACTGAGATCGGAGCTTTGTCAGGATCACGCAATATCACGGGTACCTTACCTGGTAGTCGTACTCCATTTTCTATTCCCGTCCCCGTCTCCATTCCGCCGTCCGGGCTTACTCGGTTTGCTACTACGCCTGGTACCAATCCTTCGACACCTCTACCCTTTTTTACATCTCCGTCTTGGTAACTATCATCACTCTTCCTCTGCTATTCTACCTCAACATTATTACAAACTATGCATGCTCTTCATCGGTATCATCCCGCATGCTTTCAGTATATAGACGTAGTCTTTTCTCAGCAATGTCTTGTCGAATGTATTTTGTGTTTTCCTAGTTATATCATTTGACATACATGTCACGCCCGTCGTACAACTACCTCCTAATAGACCGACGGTCGACGAACCTCGGGTAACTTGATCCTTCTAAATCGATGTCTCACCCAACCGGGAGGGCGCAGACGTCGAAAGGGGTGTAACTACGGCGTACTTCGGCGTAGTTACTCTAACTGGGGTTTTGTTCTACTGATGGCTATGTATCTCGATTTGTAAATAGCTATCTCTATATATCTTTCACTACTGACAACAATCAAGGATCGCTGAAGAACTTCAGCGATCTTCTCAGCTAATATTGTTTATTCCTCCTAGACGTTCATCCAACCCTCTTGCGCTTTGGCGTACTTCGACGCACTTCGTCCAACTTCCCCGAGCCCCGGCTATCCTCTTCCTCCTCCGACTAACTCCGCCTAACGTCGCCGTACTTCTGTTCCCATTGTCCCTATTTAGCCTAACTCCGTCTAACTTCGCCGTACTTCTGCTCCCATTGTCCCTACGTAGCCTAACTTCGTCTAACTTCGCCGTACTTGGTCTCAGATGTCCTGGGTTACGTGTAGAGTAAAAAGGTTAAGCCGTGATGGGGGTTTTGATGGTCAAAGGAGGGTCATTGTTGGTGGGATAATGGAGGTGTCACGACGTAGTTCGTGACAATACATCTCATCGATCTTACAGATCTCCTCAAAACACTACATCACTAGGTTTGTTCCCTACAAGGCCTCATTGTCACAGCTCATCGACGCAGATTATTCCGACGTCTGGTCCTTACAAGCTTACAATCGACCTCCGCCCCCCCAATGCTCTTGTGTATGTGTTTATGGATCATGCTAGAACCATGATTGGATTGCAGTACTATCTGTTACAATCTCTTGGTAGATCATGTCTCTCAGAGCGGAATGAATGGGCAAAAGAACATGTAAACTTCACTCTCATTCATTCTTCAACGCCTTAGGGCTCCCTTAAGAACCTCATCGTGACTGAACCTCTACCATCCCGGCACTTGACACTCAAACTATCAGAAACACCGGTGCAATAGCTCCCAAATCCATCTTAAACCTCACTTCGACATTGAGAGGTTCCGTGATCTTTGAGACTCCCGGCTGGAAACAGGTTCATGGTAGATAGTTCTCTCAACAAGTCGTCTCTGTGTTCTTCCGATCTGCGCAAATCAGAATCCTCTATTCCTGAACTTGCATCATTCACTTCTTCTCTTGCAGAACTGCATGTACTTGACAGTCTACAACTTGATTGAGTTGAGGCCGGTTTTCCCTTTGTGAGCAAATCAACCAGTGGTTTACACGCTGGGTAATCGAGAATCGCTCCATCGAGAGACTTCCGATGATCAGCAGGACCCTACGGGTGTTAGTACTGTACATCTCTCATTTGTTTCTGGTGAATTACTCACACATTCAGAACAGAGAATCATAGCGCCTTCATTGGTAGCAAGATTAATCAGGAACCGCCGATCTTTTTCGAGTTCGACTTGTTTATCCATGCTCACCGGGCCCATGTTTGAGGATCTTGAAAGATCTTTCAATTCATTTCTGATACCTGTGATTCCAGAGGTTGGTCCTCCCACAAGCTGCCAGAACCAATAAGACATGTTCTTTGTGGTGGACAGCAGGGAGACACCAGAGTTCATACATGGCCGGCCTCCTCTGTATCCAAAACAAGCAGATGTATTACTCGGCAGTAGTGAATCGACGTAGATGTCTGACATGAGACCTCTCAAAAATGTGGGTTAAATATTGTTGTTATCCTTTGCTCTAATTCTGGATATGATGTGATTATGTCTAAGTCAAATGTGAAGTAGAGGATAAGAATTGAGATATCAATTCTGAATACCTGGGAAGATAGTGCTGCACAGAATTGAGAATCATGGTCAAGTCTATCACGTAATCCCAGATGATTGCGCACCTTTCATACCATGGCTTCTTATTCACACTCTCCCTTCAACTTACTTTTCCCATTGCTTTCCTATCCCACTCCCCTCTGAGAAAGGCAAAACAAGTCCTATCTCATGCTTCTGTTATATATAACGCAACACAGAGAATAACTAGCGTAACTGGGTCTGATCCTGTCCAGATCAGTAGTTATCGCAAGATCAATTCCTCTAAGCATAGTTGATATTGCGCCTCTTAGATAGTTTAGATTTGCGGGTCCGCTAGCCGGTCATGATACAGTACTCGTAGTCCCCTGGTCTTTGTTCTCCTATGCCGCTGCTTGCGCTCTGTCAACACACAATTCTGTATGATTGATTGCTCAACTACTTGATCATGAAACAGATTTAATCTCTCCCGTCCTGTCTGCTCTTCCGCCCTTCACTGTTGAAATGCTCTATGAGTGTCCATACTTTCTTCTTTAGCTTCTTTCTTGTTACAAGGGAGTACTACTGTATATGGTAAGTAGTACATATATAGGTATGTAAATGCACATGCATTCATATCTTCCTTGTAGCATCATCTTCTCCATAGGGGTAAACAGTCACTAACAAAGATTGCACTTACTTACCATACCTTCTTGGTTCCAAAAGTCTCAATTGTCATGGCGTCCGGACTCCTGTAAGAAGACATATGTAGTGTCTGTTCTGTAGTCATCTTCACACTTCCCAGCTGTATCTTCCTCACGGACGGCTTCAGACATATTTAATTCTGGTGGCAAGACAGAATTCCCTGAATAAGTCTTAATGGATGTCTTAGAATTCCTTGAATTCCAATACCTTCTCTTATCTGACGTTCTCTTTTGTGACAATCTTGCAGCTTTTCCAGAATGTAATTGCTCAACAGCTGCCTTACAATGGCTGAAGCTGCTTGATATAACCTTCAATGTGGCAAGTCTGTCCTTCTGTGAAATTAGTATAAGTGATACTATACAAATCAATGTGATTTTATCTGCCTGTCACTCACACAACGATTACAAATTATCAAAAAACCTTGTTGACTTGCAAGCTCAGTCACATCTTTCATACGGTTCCCAACATCCCAAAATTCTATGAGTTGGCTTGGATTTGACTTTGAGCTCTTTAGAAGCTTGTCTTGTTCCTGTTTCAGTTTATGCAATGTCCACACCAGTTCATAGAACCGAGCCGTTGGTTCTTCACGTGAAGGTAGAATCAGAGTACTGGCTCCATTCCGACATGAGAAACATGGACGTTTAGACAGCAACAAACCCAGACGAGCGGTAGAGGACCATATGACATCTGATGTCTCTGACCCATTCTCGTTGTTATCTTTGTCCTCGGTGGTTGACAGTGGGGATAAAGAAGACACTGAGGACGAAAAAAGCATTCGGCGTGATGATGGGATTGATAGAATTTAAGATATGTTTTAGAAACCTATCTATACCCCAACTTATAGTCAGATTTGACAATCGGACTTTCCGTCGTGAGAAGTCACGATTTCGAAAGGAGCGTGAAACCTCCAAATTCCCACTTCCACATCCATTGTCATGCAGGTTTTGATCTTCCATCAGAAGAGATTTGTGCATACTTACAAAGTCATGTATCCATCAACCCCTAACAATTTCCTAACACGGACTACCCCAAGGCAATGATCCTTCCTCCCTTCCCTTTCCCCCTTCGTTACGGGACGGGGGAGGGAAGGGGTTATTGTCGTGATCACGCGATCACTACCTTACCTGGTAGTCGTACTCCATCTTCTATTCCCGTCCCCGTCTCCATTCCCGCGTCCGGGCTTACTCCGTTTGGTACTACGCCTGGTACCAATCCTTTGACACCTCTACCCTTTTTTACATCTCCGTCTCGGTAACTATCATCGCTCTTCCTCTGCTATTCTACCTCAACTTTATTTCAAACTACGCATGCTCTTCATCGGTATCATCCCGCGCGCTTTTGGTATATAGACGTAGTCTTTTCTCAGCAATGTCTTATCAAATGTATTTTGTGTTTTCCTAGTTATATCATTTGACATACATCTCATCAAACTTACAGATCTCTTCGATACACTACATCACTAGGTTTGTTCCCTACAAGGCCTCATTGTCACAGCTCATTGACGCAGACTATTCCGACGTCTGGTCCTTACAGTTATTCTCCCGCCTCCATCAGGATAATCCCTTCTTTCATCCCTCATCTCTGACACTAACCCCTCTCTTCAAATATACCCACCTCCCTTCCGCCCTCCTCACCGTCCGGATAAGAAGTCTGAGGGACAAAAATACGTTCTGCCACGTCTATCTCTCCTGGCATCTTGCGTCTTGCCAAGACGTGGAAATGAGATAATCCACGAACACTTTGATTTCGCTAATCATCAGTACACTTACAATCCTTTTATTCCGTCTTGACTTACAATAGGATTTAACAACTGTTCATCAGTCAAAACTCCATATCAACCAATCACACAAATCGAAGACCTAAGACGTGCATTGTCTTACCCATCATCACCCTTCCGACTTCCGCCCGGAGGGTTGATAAGGGATACAATCATATTCTACCATCAAGGCCACAGAAGAATAGGTTCAAGGAACTTCTCGTAGATGTTTTTGAAAATGGAAGAGACCATTACTCACCCATAAACATTCCCAACCTCTTTCATCCCATAAAGAACGTACCATCCTCCCTACTTCATGTCCACCAAGAGATTCGAATTGAACCCCAGCCCAACGCTTCACATCATCTCCGGCTCTTGGTTCAAGTATCTCCGAAGGGATTTCAGGATCTCCAGGTTTAGTACCTTCGGGAAGAGGAAGAACTCCTGTCATACCTGTTAAACCACGTTCTTGAATGACGGACCATTGTTCAGGATCGTTATTTACTAATTCAGGATGAGCTATGGGTACCTTCAAATCAGCTCTCAATCTCTTTTCTCTCTGTCCCGGCAATCATAAACTCTACAGCTTTATTTCAAACTCAGTAAAAAGTTGATGAACACATGCAGCATCTCAACAGTCTTCATTTCGATTCAATAAACCCAACGAGATAGAGGTTGAAGACTGGGGATCATGATAGGAGAAGGATGACTTCTGTATTGACTTGAAGGAATTGGGAAGATCAGATGGTTTGATGAAGAGAAAAGAAAAGAAGTCAAACTCACCTTGGACCAAACCACGTAATGTCGAACACCATGAGGAAGAGAATAAGGCCAATCATTAAATTTCACCACAAACTTAGTTTCGTCCAACCCTTTCGTCGGGTCCCAACGAAGATATAAATCTTCATCTTCCTGCATAGACATGATGGAAGAAGGAGCCGTCGAAGGGGACGATGGTTCTGATTCTGATGAGCCGAGAGGACTAAGCGGAGGTGTTTCATTAGGTGAAGTGAGATTCAAGTTAGTGGAACCGACTGAAAATGGAGATTTGGGAGAACTCGGTTGGTCGATCAGTGGGATTTGGGGTGAGTTTGGAGGGATGAGAGAAGGGGCGAGGGTGTTCCATGGAAGTTGATCCATGAGATAATTTTCTGTACTAAATCAGTGTTTCTCTTATATGAAATCAAAGTGGGCCTTTATATTGTTCCAGATGTTCTGTGTCAAAATCGTCAAGATATATATATGTGGAGGAGTTATCAAGGAAGTGTGACGGATGATGAACGAAGATGATTGAAGGTTATCAGCCCAGTGGAAGAAAGCTTGGGGAAGACTCAGGTGAGTTGTTCAACTGTTCAATCGGAATTCAAATGATAAGAGAAGAAAGAGAGAGGATTTGCCGAAAAACTCACCTACAGTACCGAAATCTTGTTTGACACCTTCAACCCATAATTTATACCTCTTCTGTAGAGCTGCACTTCGACCAAGAGGTTCCAAAGGTCTAAAATCTGAATTTCAATTTCAATTTCAATCACTCATCCCCTTACTCCCTTTCTTACGTTCCCTCTGACTTTACAAGTACAGCCTTTCGAGGAATCTCGGAATGGCAGAATGAAGGTACTCCAGAAAAGGACTACGGGCCGGTCTGGAAATAGAGATACATGAAGAATCGGAGATAGATGGGAAAAGAAAGATGACAAATGGGATGAGAATAATACTGACATATAAAAGCTTTCAATTCTCCCCATGTCCAAATCTTCGGTTCAGCATCTAATTCTTCTTGAGTCGGAAGACCTTCACGAGGTTTTGGTAGGAGTATCTTTGGTGCGGGATAACGACGATCGTTCAAGTAAATAATTTCTCTGGTTTCGGTTTGTTTTTGCATCCTTATCGAACCTCCTTTGTGTACCTCAAGATTCGATCAAGTGATTCGGATATCAATGGTTCAGATGAGTCGATAGTTGATCAGTAACGTACTGTGACTTTGGTCGGTTACAATGAAACTAAAAGTGTTGATTGTCAATTAGGTGAGTGGTGATTGTATGACTAAGTCTCACGGATTAGATGTCAACGTTGATGTACTTCCAAATGTGAAAGAAGTCTTTCAGGTAGAGTACGTATGTATGTCAGATAAGATGAGTTGTGTAGGCGGTTGGTGGATTATATGAAAGTGTGTAAGTATGTAAGTGAGTAAGTGACTGATAGTGATAGTTGAATAAGATTTGATGAAGAAGTAAGAAAATAAGCGATGAGAGTGTTTATAAATAAGAAAGACTTGAAGTCTCTTGCAGACATGTTTCAAACTTCACCCATTGAAAGGAGATATTGAAAGCATTATAAATCTCAAACACTACTTTTGATCAGTACATACATGAAAAGAGAAGATGATGAAAGGTTTGATATTCAAAGAGTGATACGTCCAGAAGGGGCAAACAGACGTGAGAAATATAAATGTCTGTTGTCAAAGGATAATCACGCAGAACGGGACCGTTCTGATATTTGAATGTATACGAGGGGTTAAGTGGTTTGACGGGTATGGAGCGAGATTTCCTGAGTAGATAGCGGGAAAAAGCTTCAGGGGTGATGGTATGAATGTGCCAGAGTGATAAAAAGAGATGGTCGATTTAGGAAGTCTCTCTTGTATATTAACTCGGATCAAACTTCCGAGGTTACAGTGTGAGAAGGGAGTAAAGGAATTTCTGATTCTTCGTTTGGGTCGGATGATGTTGTTTCGGGAGAACCGTACTTCTGTTTCTCATCAGCGATCCATGTTTGAGAGAACTATTTTACATGTGAAGAGACAATGGGGGAATTGCGTAATTAGTCACCAACAGAGATGTCCTGTGAAACTGAAAGAACTATTCTACATGTGAAGAGCCATTAGGGGAATTGTGTAATTAGTCACCAGCAGAGATGTCCTGTGAAACTGAAAAAAACTGTCCTACATGTGAAGAGCAGTGAATTGAATAGCTCAGTCACCAACAGAGATGTCCTGTGAAAGTGTGTATCAAGAACAAGGTCTCAAACTAGAAGGAAGAGAGGACACTGGGGAAAGTTTGATGAAGGAACTCACCACAGCTACTAACCCAGAAATAACGATGATACTCATCCCCACAAACGCCGGCCAATCAGGGACGGATCTATACATCCCCCATTGTGATAAAACTCCAAATACGACAGAAGAATAAGACATCATCCCTACTTGTCCCCCTGTGGAATGTTGTGTAGCGTGGGTCAAACATATTTGAGCTCCTCCACCTAGAGGCTATGAGATCAGCTTTTTGTTTGTAACTCTCATTTTCCCCTTTGGACCTTTCATTGTAATAGTAAAATGTACTTCTGACAGCAGGTAATACGACGAATACACATTAAGAGACATGTGACCATGGAGGAGGATGAGGAGGAGGAGGAGGAGGAGGAGGGGGAAGAGGAGGAGGAGGAAGAAGTGATAGTGGTAAGGGAAAAGATGATGGACGCAAGAAGACTTACGATGACAGCGAAAAGAGCTATCCAATTGATGAAACTAGAAGGCATCACAATCTTTTCTCGAGAAATGATCAACATTCTAATCTTCAGCTTACTTCAATTGTAGTTAGAAAGCCGAAAGTTGAGACACTGGAGACTGTCTCCTATGTATATTCTCAAGATGTTCACGTTAAACTTCGAGAGATGACTCGTCCTTGGTGGAAGATGCTTGGGGATGAAGAAATGATTATTCCAAACCAAACTCACAATGAACTCAAGACTACACTGGAAGCAGCAAACATTGTCAGAATTTGTACGGCCGTAGCACGTCTACCTATGAGTCGAGTAAAGAAGACTGGTCGTCAGCAGTAATCCATTCAACCTGCGTTCATGTTTCAAAATCTATCTTCACTCTTCTTGTCGCACGAGTTCCAACAAGTCAGTGAGGGGAAACTTCAACGGTGAGCTTTCATTCAAGATCCCCGCGCGGGTGGGAATCATTTAGGAAAATAACGTCAAACGTCTTGACAAGATTCTGCGAGGCGAAGGACACCATTTCGACAAAGAGAGAGTGTACATTGAGAGCCATAGGGGTAGTAGTGAAGATGGACGATCAAAAACTCACTTTCTCCCGTAATGACCAAAGTGCACAAGCTCATCAGACTTATTCCGATAACACGATTCGTCAAGTCATGTGTGATAGGATCAGGTAATGTCCTCGTGACCAACTCCAGTGTTGATACACGGTCTAAACCTGTCTCGTTTGTCGTTCGAAGTGAAGTGAATATCAATGGGAGGATATGATCCCTTAATTGCTGGAAAATGTAATTCCCAACGGATTGTTCTTTGCCCTCGTGGTAGAAGGATTCGAATGTTGGAACAGGTTGATCTTTGAAGTGTCGTGGCATAGGAAACCGTAGAGGTGGATCTAAACTAGGAATAGGGAGTGAAGAAGCGGGATTGGGAGATAAGAATGACGGTTGAGCTATGATGATAACTCCGAGGATACTGATGACTGATTATCAGTTCAGACTTCTTGTGTCTGGAGTGGAAGTAAACATAGATGGATCAAAGCGAAAAGTCAACTTCAGGAGCTGATGAGTTCAAAAGTCCCTAAGATTACACAGGATCAGGCAAGATGACATCTAGGTATCGAAGATCATTGGACAGAAAGGACCAGTTGATCATCGACGAGTGAAGACATCATGACGGTTTTAATGGAGTTGGTGAGCCTCGAAAGTGAAAGAAATATCAAAGAGGGACTAACCACAAGAAACGCATTGAATCAAAGTGAATCTTTCTTTTAAAAATAACCAACATATTCCAGCCGTTGGGAAAGGTAATAAAGCTAGTATTGGTAACGCCTTTTACCATCAATATTGCCCATTCACAGAAAATAACCTTCAGCACGAGTAGGATTTCTCATGTATGTCATTCAGAGTGAATCATATGTTCGAAGAGCCTCTTACTCTGAGATTTCAGATCGAGATATTCATTCCTAAGATTGACGAGTAAAATGCAAGATTTCTTCGATCCTGGACAATATGATAGGAAGGGTTAAAGGGAAGACACCCAAAAGAAAAGAAGTTGGCAATATCAGTAAAGTACTCACCTCACTTAAACCTAAATAACCAAAAGCTTCAAAACCACACCATAAACCCATCCAAGCTATTATCCCTCTTATCCATAGTAAATATCTTATCCCTTGTTTCCCACCTTTTCCCCATGGTGCATAAGGTGTAGAAAATGAATTCCATTTCTTCATTTTTTCTCTCTTTCTTCCTGTTACTCTACTGACATCATCTCTGTGTTCTCTAACACCCTTATAGCCTTTCTTTGCTTGATCTTCATGTTCAACTAAGAAGGTCTTGTTGATCGTCTCTTCTCTTTCCCCTCTTCTTCCTGTAAATCCGCTGTCACTTTCATTCGCTTGATTTTGTCTCATCGAAAACGGCTTGATAGTCGTACCTTCTCTTTCCCCTATTCCTCTCGTACTTCCTCTGTCGCCTTCCTTTACTTGGTGTTCTGGTCTGGCGGAAATCGTCTTGATGGTCGTGACATCCCCTTCTCCTTCCTCAAGCATATCCACTTTGTTCGTCTGGATCAGAGGCAAGTCATCGTCATTCCCTTCATCATTACCAAGCACCTGCACACCTCTCATCTCAGCCGAGGCCCAATTATTGTACCTGACGCCAGTCGCTGGAGTAACATCCACTAGACTTCGATCTACACCTGATCCCATTGCAGAACCCTCTTCCGCCCGCACCTCCATGTACCCACTTCGAGTCAGGCGACTTGACACCACATAATCTTCGCTCGAAATACGGTCCACATCTCCCATCCCCATAACACTTCCACCATCTACATGTCCGCCCTGTATTCCCCCGAGCCAAAGCCAGACCATGCATCCTACCAAAGTCCCGATCATCCTAACCACCACGATGAAATTGATCGGTATTGTTTGACTCGTCTCGAGGTATTGTACGATAGTGTCCATACTTGCGAACGCTGCGTATGCTATTAGGGCGATGAGAAGGGGGTGCAGCATGGTGGGCTGGATCAGATAGAAACGCTCCAGTCAATCTCAAGGAGTGCCTTGTTGGGCCTTTCGCTGTGTACTATTCTACGTCGAACTGTTCAGGAGGAAGTTTTAGAGTAAAGCTGATGTTTGAAAGAGAAAGCTTGAAGGGATGTTGACAAGATGCAATGTTGGAGCATTGATGGAGAGAAGCGAGATAATCGGATGGCATGGTTCGCAATCCAGAAGCGTTGGTAAATTCTTGATCGAGTGTTAAAGGTAGTGGAGTAGATCATCAGTGCAATCATCAGCCGATCAAGTCAGTCCATCAGATTTTGAGTTCGCATCACAGCTACATAGCTTGCTTGAAATATACTTCCATCCGCGAACTGGCAAGCTGGCATGAGTCGTTGCATGTCGGGTGGGAAAACGACGGAAGAACACGCACAATGCAAATGTGGCACATGACATCAACTGACAATCTCGTATGTTCTGAATTACCGAGTCATAATAAATGTTCAAGTTCAAACCACTAAAGCCAGCGCCAGCGCTAGCATACCAACCACCCCACCTGCTTCAACTCGAACACCAGCCAAAGCGGCAGAGCTGGCCGATGGGACGGGGGGAGAGTCGGTGGTACTTCCTGTGGCGGATGAAATGGGGAGGTCCGTGTTGTAAGCGGTGAGACCTCCAAAGGGAGAGGGAGAAGGCGATGAGGATGGGACCGCAGAGGGAGTAGTAGATGGTACGGTCGTGTTGTCGTTGGTCGTGTTGGTGGCGTCGACAAGCACTCCGGTACCCCACTCGACTGTCCCGCCGTTGAAGTCGGTCGAGTTGGTTGGTGGGGTTGATTGACCATCTGCACCGACGATCTGGGGTTAGTGTGGCTCTGTCAAGTTGGGCATGTGGGTTCGGGAGGGAGGTATCAATTGGTCAATGGGATCTTCACTTAGATGAATGACATGGAAAATAATGGAAATGGTGCAGATCGATAGATGAGTGATTGGAGTATGCAACAAGACTCACAGTAAAACGGGTGGTCCAGAAAGTCGCCGCAGTGACATTAGCAGCATTGGTAAACTGCAAGAAATAAATCCCGGAGTGAGGCGACACTTGGGGTGCAAGAGCGGAGAACGACGTGGTGGTTGTGGCATCGATGTTCTTTCCAAGGTCGAGAAGTGGGATCATCTATAAGATTAGGAGTGTTCTTCTCACTTTTTCTTCGCCCAATCTACGTCTATTCATATAATCAAGACATCCATCTGTGTAAAGGTCCGTGCCGCGTCGGGTGACAGGGACACTTTGCACACTAAGACACAGGATCCTGCCATCCTACTCCAGAAAGAACAAAACTTCCCAGTCACGAATGACAAGGACAAATCCCCATATCGTCAGAATCTTCAGCCGATGAATAAGATAGATGGGAAACGACTCTTGTACCCGTCCAAGGGGGAGGGTAAGACAAAGAGTCGACCACGGCATGCAAGGAAGTAGTGCGAGTGTGAAAAGGACATGCGAGAAAAGCTTTTTGACTTACACCGATATTCCAACCAGTCATCAAAGTAATAGTCATATTCGTCCATTCCCCAGTCATATCCGACGTCCAAAGAGCCGTGATATTTTGACCTTCCATCACTACCGTAGTTGAATCTGGTGAGGTTGGGGTAGGGTCTGCGATGGTGAGAAGGGGTAAGAAGAGGAGTGAAAGGATAGTTGTTATCGTGAACATTTTGAGTGGAGTAGATCGATATCGATCTTCACCTGAATTCAAGGTAATGATTGTGAGAGATATCGAAAGAAGGAGTGAAAAGTGTTAGGTGAAGAAAATGATTAAAAGTAACAAAGCGTCAAGCGAAAAGAGATCCAAGCGGATGTCAAGTACCAAATGTCAAGTGACAAGTAGCAAGTGTCAAGTGTCAAGTGTGAAATGAGTGTGGTTGTATGAGATGATATGGATGTAGTGAAAGAGACAAGGGAGGTAAGGTAAGGATAAGGATATGATAGGATGTTTGAGTTGTGAAATGTAAGACAGAGAAGGGGGGGAAGAAGGGGGAAGAAGGGAAGGAAATACAACATTCTCCTTTGGGGGGATTACGCACAGACCGCCTTGACACACCTACTTCCGTCATTACCGCATCATACACCCGCATATGTATCATACGAGTACTCTACATCCAATGCATTCGTTTGCTGTGCTACATGCTACCATACTTGACCTTCTCTTGCTAGCCCTGCTCAAAGGTACAGATAAGCATGAATGAAACAGAGCGAGACGAGACATTTGAGAGTGAGACATGTAAGTTACTTTGCTGCATGCTGCACGTTCTTGGCCATGAGAAACACGAGTGACGCGTGGGAAAATCAGTCGCGTCCCAGTGGCCAGTGGATCATGGACCATGGACCACTGTGTATAAGTTACTTGTACGAATCTATTGCTCATGGGGATGCCATATGACATGGCGTGTTGAGTCATGACAAAGAAGAGTTGTGCATGTTACTTCTCTACTAGAATCATCCTTGCTACTTGCTACAACTTGGCTTTTCATATGAATAGATTGCTCGACATCAAAAGTCTCGTCGTCGAACCGGACTTCTAGTTCCACGACGTAACATCAATCCCAACATTACCGTCGTCGCTGCGCTCAATGAGAACCTTGGGGTTTAGCGTCACTTCACACGTCACAATCTCAATCAATGGTCAAAGAACCTAACCGGTGAGCAGAATCAAGGATATTGGCATTGAATAAGTGAATAGGGGAAATGAGAAAAGGATAAAACTCACCATGTCGCTGCATAACTAGCATGTTGATTCCTCAATTCCACTATCGGTGGTTTACCCACAGGAATACCTTGTTGCATCAAGAATGAAGCTGGTATAGTTTCATCTGATCGTGAGTCACCTTACAAGCACCAAGGGAGAAGAGAACATACCATCAATAGCATCAACTAAAACAGGTTGTAAACCAATCTTCTCCCCTCCACAAAATTCCACCATCCCTTTTAGATCTTTCCAATACCATTCATTCTTTTCTTTCCTATTATCAGGACTCCAACTTTTTTCTCCTCCTTTAGATAAGATACCTTCTAAAATGACTTCTTGTCCCATTCCCGGAGGAGGAAAACCAGATCTTATCTTATCAGCAAGATCGTTAGTTATGAATCCTCTATTGACTAGGATGGTTGTTGGGCCTGACCAATCGTCCGTTCTTCTTCTTTGAGATTCTCCGTTGTCAACATCGTCTCTCATGGACGAAGAAGAGGATTGAGGGTTTATATTTGGTACTTCTGATGAGATGTTGGGTTTACTGGAGGAGATATTGGATTTGTTGGTAGATGAGAAAGAAGAAAAGAGGGAAGAGAAGGAGCGAAGGGAAGAGAAAGAAGAGGATTTATCTTCAATTGGAGAAGCTCTTCGAAGTGGTAAGATCAAATTCCATCCATGACTTCCTCCTGGAACACCGGGATGAACTTGAGGTCCTAAGAGGATAGGAGGACCTGTGAAAGTACCTTTTACTAGAACACGACGGTATGTGAAATCAGGTAAGGCGTCTAGACTGTTTATCAGTCTTTTATCTTTTCAGCATGTCATACGATGAACACAAAGAATCATCTGAGCCCAAACCCAAAACACAGACCATTTTTAACACGAGGAAGGAGAAGCGACATTGCTCGAAATGCTCAGTCTTGTCCAAATGAGAAAGATATCTCCTTGATAAACCCCTCATATATCCACGATATAGCATGGACGATAACATAACAACCCACAAGATCTCCGTAAGTACTAAAGTATATCAAATCACAACAAAAATAAAGATTGAGCAAGTCGTTCATGATAGCTAAATTAACTGAGGAAAGAGGGAATGACGAGAAGATAAGGAAAAGCGGGGAAAATCAGACTCACTTGATATTACTAGGTAAAATCAAAGCTTCTTTACTCATATTCTTCTCTACTTCATCAATCAATTCCAATTTCCATTTCAATCTTTTCAATTGCCAAACCCCCAAAGCACCAGTGAGTAGTGGAACGAAAAGTAATAGTATAGTCGTTGGTTTGTATAATTGAGATCGGAGAGTGGTAGGTTTTGTTAATGTTGATGATTGTCTTTGTATATTTTTCATAAATGACTTTTTGGTGAGGTTATGAATCGGTCGAAGTGAGAATTGTGATAATGTTCGATGAGGTTGATGTGACTGGTTTGGTTTTGTTGGTCCAGGTTGATTTACTTCTTTCAAGAATGGTCGATATGATCCCCGTGACAATAATGTTTCATAAGTGTCCCTCGGTGGTGTTCCATTGTTGGGAATTGTATGGATGATTCTTGGTGAGATAACTGGTAGTGTTCTTGTGGAAGTGATCGTGTAGATGTTTTTACTAAGAGGTGAAGGGATATGTGGAAGGTTTTTATTTGTTGGTAAAGTGATAATTGAGGTAGATCTGGACATATCCAAGGTGGTGGTGGTCTTATTGAAAGCTCTTGTGATCCCAGTGGATGACCCAAGTCGGGACATTGTGTTGATTGAAGAAACGTCTGGTAGTACTTATCACGAGTAGTGGAGAAGTACCATGTACCATGGATGACTGAGAGATATCTTACGCCCCTCTTGCAGTCCTTCAGTCCGTAATATACGTCATACGTCACTTTGATATCCCACCCTCAGAATCCCAAAGGCGACAGTTCGACAGTTCGACGATGTAATGTTTCAGAAAAGGTGAGAGAGTTTTGCTTATAACACCGTGATCCGTGAAGTCATTTAAAGACCAAGATTTTGAAGATTTTGAAGGAGAAAAGATGACGTGAAGGGAAAAGAAGGAAAAAGTTGATCGGACTTTACCAACAACGACAACAACTTTCCCTCTTCCTATCAGCAACCTCATCTTCCTACCTTCACTCTTACATCCTCCAACTCTATCTATCTCCTCAATATCAACTATCAGCCCAATTCAGCAAAACAACACCATGACGTTTCCCACCAGATGACACCAGAGTCCCTGAAAACCAAGCTATCAGAGACCTTATGAGACGAAAGAAACATGTCCGACCCAGACACTTCGACATTGGGAAAAGAAGATCCAATACAAAACCTACCTTCTTGGACAACAATCCAATCATGGGTACTCAGACCACAAGCTATCGCTAAATGTTTCATCAGTGATATTTATCAAATGTCGAGTTTGATTTTACCAAATACGACAGGGACGAGTTATGGTTCTCGAGGTGAGTTCTGACTTTCGACTTTACTTTCATCATCGACTTTGTAAAGATTTCTCCTCCTGTTTACCACTATCACTTTCATAACATGTCTTTATCATATTACAAGATCTTAAATGTGGTCTTATGACTCTCATCTATCTCTTCTATTTGACATCATCGTAGAAGGTGTGACTATTGGGATTGGTACGTAGGATCAATTTCTTCGGCATACTATAACCAAAACGTTTATCTCAAGGACGTTAATTGAGAAAGGAAGGAATTGTTGAAGAATTTTGTATGAAGTATAGAAGAAAAGTGAAATAATCATTGATTTACAGATACATTCCTACTCGATCATTTTCCTTGTCGTATGGTCAACTTGGTAGGGTTAGTAATTGGAATCGATACACGTGAAAGTAATCTAACTATTTACTTGGATGATGGTGATGGTCAATATGTTCTTCCTATCCTTATACGACTCTCTCTCATTACCATACAATCGAATACCAATAATCAATCTGGTACAATCTCAGGTAATCATCTTATTTCGAATATAAATGGAACTGGCAGTGCCTCGACGACTCAGCTTTCTTCCTGTACAAACGAGACCGTACATTTCCCATCCGCAAAAGAACGTAAAGCTCTTCGACGTGCTCAAACTCTCGAAAACACTACAAAGATGAATTTATCGCAACGCCCCCCTGTGAAAATGTACGAAAAGAAAGATATTCGAGTGGGTGATGTAGTGAGGGTTGTGGGGAAAGTTGATGAGTGGCAAAGACGAAGGAATGGAGCGGGGGAATGGGTTAGACAAGTCGTTGTTGAAGATGGAGGTGGTGGAAGTATAAGTGAGTAATCGTATCTCACTTCCACCCCTCTAGAGACCCCTCCGCCCATCCCTCGTTCCATATTCATTCCAGCCATCCCTGTCTTTGGTTTTTCATGACTGTTTGTTCTGTGTATTTCTCGTTCAAACTGCCCTACTTTTACTCTGATCTTCTCTTCCGTCTACTCAAATTTATAGCATTGGCTGGTTTCTTCAAGAATGAACATCTGATAGATATCTACCAAAAGTTTATATCTTGGCTGTGGAATGCGAACAGTCATCAAGAGACAAGTAGGAGGGGTCAAAGTGTGAGGTCGTATACTAAGAGAATCGGGGAGGGGGGGTAAATGATCAGAAATCAGAATTGACAAATTAGCAAGAGTAGATCCAGACGAACAATTCCTACACGTAACACAAGTCAATCAACTTCACCGTACATTATACTCTCAGCCATTCATCATGCCCCCTGCTCCTACTCTCTCTAGGGCGAGTTCGCCATTACGTCAAAGGAAATTACCTAGTCCGGCAAAATCGGTCAGATCGGTCATGTATTCAGATTCGTTAGCACCTTCTAGTGAAATTGGGAGTGAAGTGGAATATGATGAAGGTCCTGTTCCTGTGAGTCATCGTATTCCCTCCTTCCCTCCCCTTCTAGTTCTCAGTGTTACTCTCCAATTTCACTCTTGCGCATGAATGGTTTTCTACCTCTTTTGTCTCAAGTTCCAAATTTGACCATAATCCTTGATCCTCACCACTGCCCTCTCACTCCCTCTGCCAGCCAATCCTTCACCACCGTCCTCTCCTGCCGCTGGACATCATGGACTACGTGAATTTTCTCATCACTTGTCCATTAAGTGACTTTGGCAGTTACGTGACCCATCCAAACTCCGTTCTTCTCAACTTACCGACCACACATTCCGTCATTACCTCCTAGACCATATGACCCAAACAACTTTATCCACTATCAGATCAATGTCACCTAATCAACTCCATCTCGCCCTATGTGATCTATTTCCCGAATATGCAATATCGACCAAAGATCAAACCTCGATATACCAGCCTACTTTCGATTCATCATTTCCACCCTCCTTCATCACTCCTCGACAGAGTACGACCGCTTCAAATTCTCTTTTCAAACAACCCTCGACTTATTCTGATGATACTTCAACGTGGTCAGTTGGATCTGATCATGTTGGTAAAGACCTATCAGAGGTGTTTGGGGATAGCACAAAAGATAATATATCACCTTCTGCCACACCTACTCAAGCTAAATACTTTCGTTCGAAAGCTGAACGTCTGATGGAGAAATCTTTCATTTCTCAAGCGAAAGCAACTCCCGAGGAGCATTCACACTCTTTGAAATCTTTTCGACCCTATCAGCCTCATCATCACCAACAAACTCTTTCTTTGACTCGTCCACATATCGAGTCGTTCCACTTACATCACTCCGAACCGTTTCAAGAATCTAAAATAGATGTTGATCTGTTTACACCATTTGCATATCCCTCACAATCGTATCAACATTCCTCAATCCCGATGCAACCGTGGAATCTTCATCAGAACAAAAGTCGACCTCACAATCACCATCAAAACAACAGTCGACCTCACAATCTTCCTCAGAACCAATCTCAACCTTACGATCTTAATCAAGACCAATCCCAACCCCACAATCTCTATCAAGCCCAAGCTCAACGTCATAGTCATGAAAAACAAGAATTTTCATACCAAGAACCAAGTCTAGAAACCTTCACCATCCCCTCCATACTCTCCATCCCTCATTTGAACCAACTCGCCGGATTGGTAGTTGACGCAGAATCCAAACGAACCGAACGAGCCCGTCGAAAACGTATAACGGAAGGTATCGCTTCTCAAGCAGATCTAACGATATCTCCTCGTGCATACAAATTATCAGGAGAGAAGAAAAGAAGAAAGATGGAGAGATTAGTGAGGTTTGTATTGAGACGAATTTCTGAAGAAGGTGGTTTAGTACATGTCCAATTAACCAGGAAACAAAAACAAGATCAAAATCCAACTTACCCCTCTGATCCTTCCATTGAGATTAAAGACAAAACTTATTTGAAAGAATACGACTTTCAATCGAAATATTCAAATCATACATCTCCTCTACCATACATGATTAGCGGTATCAATGACAAACAAGTAAGAATGATCATGGAAAGAGATAAAAGGGAAAGAGATGAGGAAAAGGAAAAGGAAAGGGAAAAGGAAAAGGAAAAGAAAAAGGAAGAGGGAGAGGAAAGGGAGAGGAAGAAAAAGTAGAAATAGAAATAAGTTACATACCTCTCCCACCTGATTTACTATGTCCCATCCTACTCCCACTCTTACAAAAAGAAACGAACTTGATTCAAAAACTTTTC